TATAATTAATTCCAAAATCTTATTTCAAATTTATCTGGACCCTTAGTCCATTTGTAACTTTTTAAAATCGAAGTTCTAATCGCTCTTGCTGTTTATTCCAAAAAAAAAAAAAATTAAGTTCTTAAACTTGTAATTAAAACTTCTTTCCCTAAGTATTGACAAGTGCTGTAAAACTTGTCGATCCAAAGATTCCTAATAGCTGAAAAGCAGTTAACAAGCAATTTCCAAAAGTGATTAGAAAAGGAAGTATGTGAGTGTTCTTTCAAAGGCACCAACTGTGGTTCAAGCAAGATAGCTATTCCCTCGTCTCCCAGAGCTTTAAACCTGCTGGAGACTGCTGTCTTGCAGTCTCCTCGTGAGGAGTAGCTGTCTAGAGCACTTGTGGATGATCTCAAGTCCTCTCCTTGTCTGGAAAGGAATTGTCCAAGAACTGGTTTCATTGGCTATCATCAACTCTGCTTTTTGTGAAGCCATCTTCAGTCCACCTTTTCTTCCCCAGAAGTCCAGGGGCGCACCAGTTATTGAAAGAGAAGGTTCACGTACTTTTGCCACACAAAAATATGTAGTTTTGGATCATTTTCCTCAATGAATAAATTAATGTATAATGTTTTTGACTCATTTTTTAATTGGGTTCTCTTCATCAAGTTTTAGGACTTTAGGACTTTAGGAGAACAGATCACATTTCAGTTCATATTTATGCAGAAATATTGAAAATTCAAAGAGTTCACAAAATTTGAAGCACCATTGTAAACCATAAATCTTCTTTTTCTAACGAAATGGTGATGCTACAACTCTTTCAGTGGATAAAAGTGCTAGCAGTTGCATCCTGTTGATTTTGAAGATCACTTGCCGCTCAGAGTTTTTACATGGAATCTTTTAAAAAGGTATGGATACCTTTCATACCTTTTACTTTCACCAAAAAGGTATGGATACCTACCATTTCAGTGGTAAGACTGACTTGGTTGAAGTGGGGAAACAAAACAAAAAGATACAGTGGTACTTCGGGTCACGAACTTAATTCATTCTGCGACTCTGGTCGTGACCCGAATTGGT